ATATTTATCTGTATCATAAAACTAATTATTGTGTGCCCGTGAAACAATTTACACGAATGCTTACGTATTACTAGTGTAATAAAATAAATAAATGAATTAAGATTATCACATGCCAATAAATACTATTCAATGAGCTTCTATGAGCATTTGTTGGCTAAATATTCCTTTATAACTGTCATATTAACTTAAAGAATAAAGATGTAACTGATTAACTTTTCGAACTGTAACTAGTCTTTTTTAAATTAAATTACATAATATTTTTTTATTTTCTATTATATTCATCGATACGCGACGTGAGTGCGTTTATGTGGTTTTATTGGTCCATATACCGATGAACATAAACCACAGAAAAAACTTGCACTTCGCCTGAGAGCTCTATCGACCAATGTGAACGAGATGGCGCCTTCCAACCGCGACTGTTACATTTGTTAATTAAAATCAGTCATCGTCAGTTCACAATTGCGCGTGTAACCGTCACTTTTTGACATGTGGAAATCGGCTTTCGATTTCGGAAATATTACAATCGGCACCTGTTGGATGGCTTTCGTTCGCAGAACGCAGGACTGGATCGGTATTACACTGAACTTGTTTATCGGATTTTGCACCACTTGATTCTACAGTCGTACGTGACTTAATTGGAGCACTTATCCGTAAATTTTTTTTCGCAATGGCCACTTAACATGAAAGCAATGCAAAGGTGCGGATCCGTCAATCTTACCTAATACAAAAATAATTATATTTCTATACTTAACGGATTAGGTTGCGTCACTTTAAATTAGTTTAATGGTCGGTGAGTTTAAAGGGATTATGGAGAAAGTTATGCTTGACGTAATTAAAAAATCATATTAGTCACATTGAACAAACATTGCCTTCTTTTGAGTTTCCACAATTTAAATCCTTAATTAAGTAATATAAATACAGTTGTATTCTTTTATCACAAATTTTCCAATATACATTTGAGTAGATTATCTTTTTTTTAGTTTTGACAACCCTGTTTAACGTATGCACTGGGTTTACATGTAGTTTAACACAATTTTTATTGAGTTGAAGTAGTTTTTACTGATTAAAGTCCAAGGTGTTAATGATATTTTATTGTAAATATTGTACGCAAGTAATATTGGTCATAAAATTACCTTTCCTACTGGCTAACCTTAATGAAGCTGTTAAAGAAATGGTATAAACAGTTTAACGAGGACATAGTCGCATAAAAATGGTAATAATAGCTATAGGTTTCACAACTTTGCTAAGAACCAATTGATGCTAAGATCAGGATTGGCCAAAATTAATATTATTAAACAAAGACTAAGCAAACCCATTATTACCGTCTAGGAGTAAATATTAGTCACGTGTAACCCTAGCATTACTAAGCTTATTTGTTAAGTCTTCGTTTAATAATAAGAATCTCATTACTTTAGCGTAAAACTTTGACTCTAACCGTTTTATTATGAATCGATAGCTAAAGTTACTTGGTTGAAGCAATTGCTCGCTTAAAGCAAATTTTCAATGGTAGAAAAGAAAACAACTTGATACGTGTTGACTAATTTTGGTCGAATAATGGTTGTAAAACCTGATACTAAAGTTAGTCGTCATCATAATGTACCTATGTATGGAATCTAATAAGGCTTTTAATTGAAGATGTTATTGTATAGTGCTAACAGTACATAATATCACAAGTCTATATAGGTATACGGGAGTATAATTTTCTCTAATTGTCTTTTATAATTGTCTTCTTAGTTTATATTTTTTAAGTTTCTGACAAATAATTATACCTACTCAATAATTTATGTATTTAATGCATGTATAACACTTTTTTATGTTAAATAGACTTATATCGTTAATTATGGCTATTAATTTGAAATTAACATTGCCGATAAATGACTTTATTGCTATTTTATGACTTCTATAACTCTTATATATATTTTTATGATCATCAGTCTTGTACTGGTTATTTATGATTATAAACAGTTTGATTAAATTATATTTGAGAGTGATTAAGAAGAAAGTTGTAATTTGCGTGTTGAGTCGGGATGTATCGCAAAAATATCGAAATGCTAAAAAATTTACTGATTCTGATACTCACACACACACGCACTCTCTAACACACACACACTCACACATACAAAGACTCACACACACAAACAATCACACACACAAACACTCACACTCACAAACGCACTCACACACAAAAACACACACATATAAAGCTTTTTTTTGTAACTTGTTCTTTTGTACTAAATTTCTTCTTGTTCTTTTGTATTTTTTTTGTTCTTTTGTTCTAAAATGTAATAATACTTAGAGAGCACTGACTCCTGACATACAGGGCAACCTATTTTAGGAGACAGGGCAAATTGATTTGGTGCACTATGTAGTTACTCAATAAAGAATTATTATTATTATTATTATTATTATATGATGATTTCTTTTAACCTCTAGTGGTGGGGCGGTCAATATAGCGGCTACTAAAAAGGTATCAGGTTACCAATTAATTCCAAAACGATTTTATAAAATCTGAACTGCAGTGACACTTAATCATTTTAGTTTTAAATTCCATCGAAAAGTTTTTGATAACGTGATATGCTGTACTTCAGCGAAGTATGAATTCTGTGTGCTGGTTTGGTACCTTTTTACCATAGCTCTATGGTCGCTGGTCTAGGAGAATCATACTTTCTTGTTCTACTTTATTTTAGGAGTTTGGTTTGCATCAATTATTTAAGTTGTTGCAGTTTTTTATCTAGTAATAATTCACAATATTTGTTTCCATTTTTATAATTTGTGAAATATTTAATAATATTAAATTACCTCTACATTCAAATTAAATTACCCACATTTACTGTTATCTAAATATTTATCATAAATATCAGAGAAAACTGTTTTTCGAGTAAATATTCTAAGATCTTTATCAGTGTCAATATAATATTATTCTAATTATTCCCATTTAATTTTCTATTAACTGATTATTTCCCATATTTTTTATAGTGATATTTTTTTGCTCATCCACAGAAATATGTTTTGTGCCCGCGCTACATTTCGGCGCAGGCGGTTTCAATTTCTTACCGATATAAAGAACTTATGAGCCGCGTAATTCCGAATAACTGTTACTTCATTCTTTCGTAAATTAGCCCTTGAGACAGCGAGATCACTGAAATTTCACTTCATTAATCACATTTAACAACGAAACTCATTATGGCAACATTTGTAATTGTCAATTTTGGCAGTGTTACTCAGTGACATGAAACTGATTGTGCTGTCAATGATAACCTTGTTAAATTTGATGTAAGGGTCATTTTGCACTGTCCCACATGTGGTGTCGGTGTCACAAATGCAGTAGACTTGCTAATTACCGTCTTATCATCAATCATCTCGTTGAATGGGAAGGGTGCAAGTATAAAGAAGATGACTACGCCAGATCTGGAAGTGCAACACGAATACAATCTTATGTGTAATCTGTGAGAGTCTAAAGTTATAAATTTGTATAAATCAATTAGGCTTCAGTACTCTGCTTGTGAATTGTGCAGGTTTTTTGGGATATGATATACGTTTATGGCTTTTATTATAATAACAAAGCATACGTTAATATCCATAATAGTATAATTATGTATATTAGAATGAATCAAAGATGAAACCTTTTCAGTGGTATTATACAATTAGAATTGTTTTGTCATAATATTTACGAAAATAAATAAAAGTAAGCTATGTAGGTAACTTACTGCTAGAGTAATCGTCAGTGGTCCGTTACTTTATCACGTAGGTAACCCACGCTATTACTTTCGATGTGTCTGCATGTTAAGTTAGGTTACGATCTAAAAGATTTCAGTATCCTGACAGATTTGATTGAAATGTTATCTAAGAGATCTTGTAAGCTTCGGTTGAGAAATTTAACAGTATTACACATCCTTCTTTGTATTGAAATTTTAGTTGAAAGGTTATATGATGAGAGTAATGTAGTAAATTCTAGTTACGATTGTGTAACTAAATAAAATAGTATTGTAGTACTTTGTGATATGTATTTTTTATGAAAGTACCTATTAATTTTCATCAGCTTTTCTATTTCGTCATAGTTACTTGCCATTATTAATGTTTCTTAAATCTAGGGATCTGAATCTTATTCAATTATACCGTTTAATTTATTGATTAGTAATTATTGATTTTACTACAATATTTTTGAATAATTACATAAATAAATAACCTGATCAATTCCGTACTTATCTAAGAAATAAGTGAACAAACATTCATTTATTATGAAACAGTTAAGCAAACTATACTTTAGTCATTAACTCGTTTATAAGTGATAATAACAACCTTATATAAACCGTTTTTTTGTATAATGTAACATATCTTTACTATACTTATACCGTAATTTTAAAGAGTTCAATAAAGAGGAGGTTCTTTTGGCTATCTAGGTTATTTTTCTTTAATATGTTCTGTGATATCTTAATTTTGGACTGATGTTCATGAATGTTATCAATCCCTAACCATTAAAAAAATCTTTTGATTTCTCTATCGGCGTTTCAATTATTATTAGATTTTGCGGAGTAAGATTTTTGTATGGCGAAACATCAGAATTCTCGCTTAACTTAGGTTTCAATTGACATTGACGTCAAATTGTAATGCAAACAGCAAAAGCTCAGCTACTGGAGTTTGGTAAATCGACCGTGACGAATTGTCGTTTTAGTGGCACCTATCAAAGTGGTTCTAATACGTGTGTGCTTAGGTCTATGTTGGAATGTTTTGACGGTAAACGTGGTGTAGGTGGTAGGGCGCCAGTGGGTGTGATAATACGTCTTGCATACAGAAAAAAGTGCCGTGAGACTGATATTGCTCCCGTAACGTTGGCTTAAAAATCATGGGCGTGGGTGGATAGGTGAAAGGTCGCTCTCTTGAGATGCCGCTGATTGTAGATTCTGTTTTTAAAAAGGATACCGAATATCAAATGGAAATTCAATTTAGAATTTCAAGAGAACTAAAGTTTTTCAAACTAATTTTGTATTTTCTCTTTACAGGCATACGAGTTGTCTACGTTGACGGGTACACAAGTGATGCTCCTAGTAGCATCGGAAACGGGGCATGTTTACACATTCGCAACGCGGAAACTGCAGCCAATGATCACATCGGACGCAGGGAAACGACTCATACAGACGTGCCTTAATTCTCCTGATCCGCCAACTACCAGCGAGCAGCGTATGGCAGCCACCGGTTTCGAGGAGACCGAGCTCACCTATAATGTAGTTGACGAGGACATGAAGGTGAGACAATTGGCGTACGCGAGCTCCGCGCAGTACCCTATAGAACATCACCCGGGACTAGCTCCTTCGCCATTGCAACAGTACCATCAGCATCCGCCATGTCCCTCACCGCTGCCTCTCAGTTCTTTAGGGCAGCCGTACTCCCACGCACATTTATCTCATCCCCACATGTCCCATCATCCTCAACGGTAGTTTCGATGGCACTAGAATAAACTTCATACTATCGGATATCGACCACTCCTTTAGCGGAGAATTCGACTGGATTATCGAGGTAGTCACGTTCTAGGTTAGGGTACTGTCTTCGTCTGAAAACGTGTTTGGTTATGATGGAACTTTCAATATGTATAGCTAAAATTTATCAAACCAAATACGTTTTTAAACAAGCACAAGTAGTTTAAGAGAATAATATACAAGCGATAAACTATTTTGTTAATATATTTGTAAATATTACAACGAATCATAGAGTAATTTTTTTAAATGTTGCGTCCCGATTCTCGAGGATTAATGAATTTGCCTTTGATAACAGTTTAGAAATATCGTGTGTAGTTCTGCTTTAGATTTTTTTTTGTTTGGTTTCACATTTACATTGTTAATAATAACAGTTAGAAATAAAACGGAAAGAAACAAATGCAAAGAGTATCTCATCTGTTTGCTCGCTCATCCAAAATATAAAATCAATTTAAATATGATCTTTTAATTAATCATCCAACTTAAAAATTCTATCAATGAAATTGATGATCAGTATAGAGACGTCTAAACTGATGTAGAAACATTCGGTAGCAAAATAATCAGATGTAAAATTGGTTTATAATTAACGCTAGGAACCGGTTGTGACTGTTCGGAGTGACGCCTCGGAAGTGGGAGCGCTCGCGCTTGCTACTGATTCATTATGATCAATGAATCGGCCTTTCATCCCGCTTTTCGTACGAAATATGAAACGTAGCTTTAATAATGTAGATTATCTATAAATTATAGGAAGTCGCCCATTTTATTTTTTTATCATCCACTATTTATATAATGTTATGTTTTATATGTTTAAATCAAAGAGGCTATCACGATGTCGTTGGGAGTGCAGATTTATATTAAAAAACGGGAATTTGTCTAGTAAGAACTATTATATGCCCTCGAGATAATTTCCAATTATCATGGGAGTGAGCGCTGTCGCCTCGGGTCCCTAAGTCCTCGCCTGGCTCCGCGTGATCCGGATTATTAAGAAACTTAATTGAAAATTACTTTCGGAGGTACGGAGGCCGGCTATTATAAATTCTCCTGTCAGTTCCGACGATTGCTGCCGTGCTCTTAGTAAAACTAATAAGTGTAACGCAGAAGCTTTCACATCTTAATTTATAAATACTATTAACGACTTCATGAAGCAGTGTAATTTATTTGAATTCTATTTTGAACACTATAATCTCTAGTTTTGTTTGTATCACTGCGCTCACGCGAACAGTTAATCAATGGAACATACAACCGAACGCACCAAATAAGGAAAGTTCGACGTATCGATTCATTGAACCGCTCAAATTCGATTCGATTCATCCATTAAACACTGAGCACACCTTGCGTCGCTAATCGGACACTATTTATTCATCGATTTGTACCCAGTAGCTGCTCTCGCTGCTGTCGCATCGATTGCATCGATCGATTAATTTTCACCTCTCATTTGCATATCGTTTTAATTTTGAACTCATCCGGCGCCCACTGAGCTTTCGCCCCCGACCTCGAACGCCTGTTGTCAGATTTATATGATATGTTGTGTATATATGTTGACATCGATAGCATCGATTCCCTAGTTTCGCATTCACTTTGATATAAATCTTCATACTTCAGGTGGGTCGTTTTTTCGACAGAGTTTGACGCACAGAAATAATGCTTCGCCGTCGATACCGATCATTATTGTTCACGCATCATCAATAACTTGATCTGATTGAAATATTCTCTCGATAATAATGATTTGATACGATAAGAGCGTTCTGTGATCAGTGATTATTTTAAAAGTTAATATTTTAGGAGGTTTTTATAGGCATTCATATTTTGTCTGCCTTATTACAGGTACCGTGAACTAGCATTTGGAAACAGTTTCAAAAGCGGCGTTCTCTTTTTTTTTTCTAGGAATAATTTCAAATGTTATAGTCGGTCGTTTGCATAAATAATAATACTTTACGTATTCGTCGCGTGTAACGTCTTATTTTCGTGTGTTGGTTATGTGAATATAAACTGTAGACGATCTGCGGGTGTTTGGCGCAACACCACTTCGTAGGATGCAGATGGTCTTGTGCATGATTTAGCGGTATAAATGTAGAAGTCGGTCAGTGCCCTCGCATCTCTCGTATCCCTAATCGAGTTCTCGTATTTCGTAATGTTTCGCAAAACTGTTGAGATTTCGCTTTCTGTGCACGCGTCTTTCTTCTGTAAATTCCACTGCGGATTCTATCGTTCTGTTGCAAGGCACGTCTGCTCGCTCTCTGGGGAATATCTCGTTAGAAAAAAAAATTGTTGCTACTATGGAAGTTGTCGACACGAGTCGTAAATTCCTACTTTTTTTTTTAGACGAGGACGACCAGACTTGTGATTCTTCCCGATGGCGGATTGGCAGGTGACTCACTCGTATCCATAACGTATTCCGTTCGCATGGAACGCGTGCGTCTATTCTTGACGTTCGCTCAGTAATCGCTCGTTAGACTCGCACCTCGGTTTATTAACTTATCAATACTATTGTTTTGATAAACGCCCAAGACGCAATTTTAGCTGACTCATCGTATTGTACTAGCTAATATGCCCACATAATTGTCTACCTGTAAGCCGATTGGTCGACTTGTGCAAGCCTGACGGGCCCCAACAATAAAGCTAATTTGACTAATAGGTGCGTTGTAATCGTCACCGCGTGTGGTTTAAGGATTACAAGATTATCGTGCCGACTTTCTTTGCCGCTCCTAAGATCACTTCTTAATGAACGTTGCATTGATCGCTTCACTATTGTTCTAGTTGTTGTGTCTTTGTTCGTTATGTAATGCTTATCTTTGGTTTTAAGTTTTTTTTTATTTATTATAAGTGTGTCGTCATTTTCTTCGCTTGCGGCGCGTCTTGTAAGGGTACTCTCAAATTGTTGGCCGCGTAGAGTGTTTCGGCTGGTGCGATCATTAATTTATTATTCCGCGCGTGAACGCACCGTCGGATCAATTTTTTTCATAAATTATTTAATGTTTGCGAAATTCACATTAAATGATCGGTTTTGCCTTGTAATTAACATCGTTCCGAACGACCACCCGGGCGCAAGATGGATGGCCTCACTGTCGATCCAACGTAAGAGCAAAATTTGCAATGCGCCTTTGCTGTGTCTCCAAACTAAGAAAAACTAAAATAATGTCATCTACTTAAAGAAGTAGTTTCAATTTAAGAAAGATCCACTAACGGTATTGTTACCATTTTACACAGCCTCATAATATGTTTTTTTATTAGGTACTAGCTATTGCATACGTTACCCGCTACCACTAGTTCCGTTGCCTATTCATTGCAAACAAACAATCAAATCTTTTCTCTTTATATTATTAGTATTGTTTATTGGAGGAATATTTAAAATGTAAGTGCAGATATCAGTGCGAGGACGTTTGAAAATTTGGCAGTGCCGTCATTGGGAAGTGCCACGCACGATAAGCTTATGCGCGTATTATTTTAGGAGTTACGTTCAGACACACCGTGCACTATTACGGCAGGCCTGCGCCTGCGTCGTTCTGTTGCATAATTCAGACACGAGCCCCGCCGTTTGCATTCCGATACTTGATATGTGCTTTCACATGTATTTATGGACAAGATTTTGTGTCTCCGTAATGTTTGCCGAATAAATAAATTGTGTTTAAGGCATAAATACAATGGGCGAGTCGGCGGCTCCCCTCGTTACGTCGGTGAATGTAAAGTCCGAGTTAGCTTCTTGGGTTGTCGGCATGTCAACCGTTGAGATATTTCGCGGGCTCGACTTGATGCGGTTGCTTATTTCGTTGTTTAGGAGCTTCGTTACACTGCCAGTTTATGTCGGCGCTTACAAATTGGCGTTCCGATAACCACTACAGAGTATTGCGAGTATTAGTGGAAATTACAGTGTTGTGCAACACCGTTGTTAATCATTTCGCCGGTCCTTAGCTCGTTTAAATCTATTTCTTTCACTTTATTGATCTCCAGAGCAATTTCGTACAGGTGCTTCAAAGAGAAAACAAGATATCTACACTTGAGAGTTGATTTACTCCGAAATATTACCATTTTTACACTGTTTCATCATGCCATTCCGCTCACATCCTACTTACCGCAATCCTAATGATTTGCAGTGGAGGTCTCCTTTTGTATGCAACGGACGTGACGTGTTTATATGCAAGGTGCGACGCCATTATCCCGTGCCCATCGTCTCCACTAGCTTCCGCGACTGGTCGTCCTGATTGCTCTAATTGAAATTTATTCGTGCTCCTCTGGGACGCGCCCCGATTACCCAATGCCGGTTTTAATTCGATTACATTAATGAATAGGGCTGCGATTGTTCAGGGTTGTTTAGTTATGTATGCGCTTGCGTTTATGCGATCTCGTTTACTGGATTGACGCGGGACGCGCCTCATCCATTATAGATTTAGCCGGGAGTGTATCGTCCTGCTCGATATGGTCGACGTCTGTGTCATTTCGATAATTGGACCCGCGATTATTCAGTTGCGCAATTTACAAACATCTGTGATAGATCCGCTGATTGACGGCCAGATACTTGCGTCATTATGATTTAATCTTGTACCAATTAAGCGTTTTGTTTGCAGTCAAGTATGTTGCGTAGTAAGAGATACGGTGGAATACAGCATAATATTAAACAAGTCTTGTTAATGAATGTAAAAAAAATAAGTTTATTTTAAAACCATTCATATATTTGTAGTGCAATATGTTGTTGTTCGTTTTAAACTAATTATATAACACATAAAAACCTGGCAGGCTAAAAAGTTGTGTATAAATCCATAGTGATTGGACGTCCA